CCCTGCCCACCCCAAACCACTCTGTGGTTCTACGATACCCAAATCCCACCAGTAACTACAGGGCAGGGGTGGAGGCATCATTTGAACGAGGAGCAGGAACGCCCTGACCCGCTCTCTCCCTCCTCCAGGCTCGCTGGGCACGGCCGGCCGCGTGTGCAACAAGATGTCGCGGGGGACGGACGGCTGCGAGGTGATGTGCTGCGGGCGCGGGTACGACACCACGCGCGTCACGCGCGTCACCAAGTGCGAGTGCAAGTTCCACTGGTGCTGCGCTGTGCGCTGCAAGGAGTGCGAGGACACTGTGGACGTGCACACGTGTAAGGCACCCAAACGGGCCGAGTGGTTGGACCAGACCTGAGGAGCTGGAGCACAGAGGGAAGAACCCATCACCACCTCCCTTTCCTTGTTTTCTAAACCCCTGTGCCCTGAGGGCCAGGACGTTCTGGGAGCTGTAGCTCAACTGCATGGCTTTTATTTAATTAATTCTGCAAAGCACTAAAGAGAGGACTACATTTCCCAGGAGGTGCTGTGGACCCTTCTGTTTGCTCAGCAAAACTAATCCCCTACCTAGGAGGAGTCTGCAATCCTTGCTTAAACTGTGAAACTGCCGTTGCCGGTTGCGCTCTCTGCAACGGGACGGTGCAGCCGATGCGGATATGGAGGACTGATGGTCAGGATGCGATGGCTGAGGACACATGCACCGCCCCAGAGAACTTCCACTGCAGTAAAGCTTCACCAGCAAACACCCACTAGTGCAGAATAATCCACTCTTGCAGAAAGCATTCTTGCTTGTACTTTTCGGCAAGGCCAGAGGAAGGGTGTTACGAATCCATAGGACAGTTCTGATCCCTTGCGCAGAGCACCCTGCTGAGCACCAGCAAGCTCTGCACGAGGCTTCTCCCCGTCTCCTCAGCAAAGGTGACGAGTGGAGCTGTGTGTTGAAACTGAATCCTGAAAGACTGCACAGAGGCAAAGGCCAGCCCCAGGCGCTGGCAGACCCAGAGGGCTAGAGAGAGCAGAGCAACCTGTGAACTCACTGGTAGGTTCTGGAGTCAACAGGTAGAGCAGCGTCTCTGTACAACTCACTTGTATGTTGTGTATACTGCTTATTATTTTAAGTCAAAATTCATTATAAACCTGTATCAGAAAATGATGTTCTTTGCTTTTTGAGTTCCTACACACCCTGTTGGGCACTTCCCCAGAGCAGGAATCAGCCTGCAGCATTTCTACTACCCATGTGCCTGCAGCTCCCGCGCTCCTAGAGAACAGAGCTCCCCACCTCAGGAATTACCTCATTTCCCACAAAGCAGAGCCATGACATTCAGTGTGAAAAGCCCCAGGGAATCCTTATTAAGCAGTAGCAACGCTCTGGGACATCTAATAACACAGCGCTGGACCAAGCAGGAGATGCTGGTTTAGCTTCCAAACCTTTCCCATAAAAAGAAAACCAACTCAAATGCCCCAAACTTAAACTATCAACTGTTAGCAAAACCACAGAGCAATTAGCAGAACCACAGAGCCTGGGTATCAGAGATACAGTGGTTCCCTAGAGCTAACTCCCAGGGCTGGTGCAAGATGAAGTCCCACTCTGGACTTGGGGGAAATGCAGACTGGTCAATGTCTTCCTGCAGGTGAGCCCCAGCGAAGCTCCCCTTCAGCACATTCAACCTCAGCAAGATGTTTCCCATCTAGAAACGTTCACGAAGGCTGCAGTCCCATCAGGGAACACTCAGTTCAAGCCCCTCAAGTAACGTGCCTAAAACGTGCAGGGAGCCTTTTATGTAAGATCATCTTCTACTTACCCTCCGGTCACAAGCACGTCTGAGCTCAAGGGCAAGGAGCAGAATTAATTCCTTCATGAGCTTCAGAGTAAGTTACTTTCTTTTAAGAAGCTGGCCAGGACACCCAGGAGGAGTTAGAAGGAAACACAGGATCCATAGAAATTCAGGTTATTTTCTCACATGTGAGTGAGAACAAGCATGGCCCAGGTGACACCATCATTTTTGGGATGGATGTCATGATAAGATCAAGTGTTCGAGCTGCAGCGATGCAGAAGGCACACACTGCTTACACTGCTCCCCTACACCCCAGGCCCAAACCCCCTTGTTGCTGCCCTTTGGTTCACCACCACGTTCACACACACAAAAGGCTTTGCTTGTGTGGCCTGTGGGGGTCACCTGCTGTAACAGGTCCAGCTCTCAGGGTCAGATTCATCAGGGCACATTGACTCCCATTTGCACAACCTGCCCAGACCTGTGTGGGAGCTTTCACATCCTGAATCACTGAAGCAGTCACCATGGGCTGCTCCAGCAAGCAGCAAGGGGGTCACTGCTCTGGAATCTCAGCTCATGAGTCAAGGCAGGAGAATGCAATAGTCACACACTATGTCACACTGGTTTATAACTAATGATAGCCTACAGCCAAATTAGAAAAGAAATCAAGAGGTTCTTAAGAGAAGGGTCCGAGCTGATGAGGCCATGATGTGATTGAACAATTCAGTGCATCCAGAGTGAAAGGAAAATGTCATTGGCAAGCAGATCCCCACTGGAGACACACGCTCGGCTTGTGGATGCATCCTCACTGAGGCAGTAAGTGTGGGTGTGTTTTCTAGCTTTCCCCAATGACCAGACTCACCGAAGGGCCCACCAAAAAGCACAACACAACAACTGAAAGTGGAAATGAGGAAAATTCCAAGCACATGAGCAGCATCCCTCATCACTGTCTTCTTGCTACAGTGCTAAGGGCTGGGGCATGCAGAGCATATCCCACTCGAGAGGCTTGAGAAAAGGAGGAGGGAGCCAGGAGACAAGAGGTAGAACTAGAAACTGGAGCTGCCCTTCCCCTCTATCCACCTTTATTAAAAGCAGGGTGAATTCAGACCACCGTGGTTGCTGCTGTCAGCATGACCTGATCTTGAGAGGGTTTTGACCCATAAGAAGATCAGAATAGCTCACGCATCACTTGTGCACTGTACAGCCTTAACTGCAGAAGAGGGAAGAATCTGTCAGGCCTTTGTAACAGCAAAACAGGGCAATCTGGGGACTACACAGAAGCTGGCAGAGAACAAACCCCATCTGCCCTCCCTGCCCATGCTACCAACACTGTCCTCTGCTCAAAGCACAGCACCAGGGTGAGTCTGCTCCCTGTCTCCACAGCCCCCATGTGTGAGCAGCTTGGGAGGTGCATCCCCCCCACCCCAGTGTCTCATCTGTGGGCAGGGGCAAGGGCAACATCCATGTCTCCTTTCCTCGCAGGGAGTTTGCTCTCATATTTAACCTCTCCAGCCTGTTGGCGCTGGAGGCAGATGATGCAGCCTGTAGAGGTGCAGGCACTTCACTCTCCCCCTCCCCCTGGAATCTGCCTCTCACTTGTGGTCCTTGGGATTCACCCAATGTTTCTCAGAAAAAAAGAAGAGGACCTCAAGACAAGTATGCATTTAATAAGCAGAGAGACAAATAAGCTCCAGTTATCCCAGCAGAATTACAACACCAGAGAACAATTTTCTGCATTCCTCTGAAGGCCTGAAGGAACCCAATTGCCTGCTCTCAGCCTAAATAGGTACCAGACACCAAGTGCTCCATAAGCAAACAGAGCCCCCAAAGTGCAAAAATGAAATAAGTAAAAAGCTTCACATTACATATAAACCAGCCGTTTGCACCTTGTTATTAATGGTCTTGACTATGACCTTTAAACCCTGCCTTGCTCAGAGTCATGGATCTACGAGCCTTGGCACCCTCACAACAATTCCAGGATGAGGAGCAGGGAATAAACAAGAGCACCAGAGGAGATGAGGGAAGGAAGGAACCGGCCTGTGACAAACCCAGAGCAAGAACTGCTCCAGTGCAGCAGCCAGGGCTACAAGGTGACCATCTCCATGTGAATCTGTCAGCAAACCTCAGCGACCAGGGCTTCTGACAGCATGGCAAGTCCTGCTGCCACATACACACACGCACAAAAGCTAGTAACACACACGTCTGTCCCCAGAGAGCAAAGGGCTCACAGCATGGGAAGTAACTGCAAGAGAGCTCATTCCCCAGAGGATAATTCTGATGTGGTTCAAAGCCCACCTGAACTAGAGCTGCCTTAAAGCAGACCCTGCTACCCAGGAATATTTATTAGTCTAAACTGCCTCACTGCTGCTCTAAGAGCTTTGTTGTTCTAATAGCACCAGTACCCAGCAGAAAGTTTGACCCCGTAAAGCTATTCAGCCCATAGTCAACACCTCTGGGGGAGAAGACACTGCCACACATGGCTGAGAGTGCTCTGGAGACACGCACGTGCTGGGCTGGCTCCTGCATCCTCACCTGGGCAGCAGGTACCAGCCACTGCAGACCTCTGGCAGCACCCACTGCACTGGACCGAAACGCTTCTCCTTGTACAAAGGGTTCTGTTAAAAACTGAAGCCATTGCAGTAGCTCTTCCAACTCATTACTTCCTCAGATCACAGAATCACAGATCATAGAATCATAGAACACTGCCAGGGATGGGGCAGCCACAGCTTCTCTGGGCACCCTGTGCCAGCGCCTCAGCACCCTCACAGGGAAGAAGTTCTGCCCAAGAGCTCATCTCAATCTCCCCTCTGGCAGGTTCAAGCCATTCCCCTTGTCCTGTCCCTACAGGCCCTTGTCCAAAGCCCCTCTCCAGGTCTCCTGGAGCCCCTTTAGGCACTGGAGCTGCTCTAAGGTGTCCCCTTCAGGAGCCTTCTCTTCTCCAGCTGCCCCAGCCCAGCTCTCTCAGCCTGGCTCCAGAGCAGAGCTGCTCCAGCCCTCGCAGCATCTCTGTGGCCTCCTCTGCACTCCCTCCAGCAGCTCCACGTCCCTCTTGTGTTGTTGCCCCAGAGCTGGATCAGGGCTGCAGAGGGGTGTCTCCCCACAGCACAGCAGAGGGGGAGAATTTCCTCCTATGTATATATACACATACACACACACACACATACATGCATGCAACTTAACTGCATGTGGACTGATACAAGCTCTTACTGTGGTATGGATCAGGTTGTAAGGCCTTGCTCTGAAGTGCCAAATCAATGTCCTCTAAGGAATGTACAGCCCTGCTAGGAAATTGTACAGAGAGCTCCTCCTTCCTCAAGAATTACTGGTACTTGCAGAGAGAGGAAGATTTTCATTACACTGCCTGTTGCCAGCTACACTTTCAGCATAAGCCCATCCCCTTTCTGTTACTGTTATGTCAGGGGAGGACAGTGAAAGAAAGCAGCTCTTGGGATGATACATGGGAGGCAGTGCTTCATTTATAACCCCACACAAATGCTGGAAAATGTTCAACTTTAAAAAGCATTAGGTTGGTTACCTTATGGGCCCCTGCGGACCAAGAAGTGAAATTACATGAACACAACATATCTATTAATCACCACAATGATTCCACAGTGAGAAACAGCCCCAATGACATACATTCAACTGGAAAGAAAGTTGAGAAAATTACCTGCTAGTAGTTAGGCAACTCAAAAAATGTGATAGTACCTTTGTGGAGGGCTCCCCTCTTGACTCCTCAATGAATTAAAGTTATTTCACTTGGATTAAAGCCCAGGCAATACATACATACAGTGCAGAGTAACAACAGCATTTCTACCTAAACATGTGTGTTTCCTCCCAGCCAGGGTTACAAATAAGCTACACTTACACGAGAGGGGTAGGCAACTCTCCACCTCATAGCACTTTGCTTACAAGGTAAAG